AATGAGTCTTCAGCGAGCTTACCTCGAGATAGTACCTATGCAGGTATCTAGTAGCTCCCCCTCCCTTCCCCCACTTGTCATTGACTCTTTGGGATCAAACACTGGCTGAGGCCATATGTTCGTCTCAGCTAACCGGATCAGTGATCGCTTTCGATCGATATTGGATGATTGACCGTCCAATCATTGAATGCACATATCGATCCCCACCATCACACCTGAGGGTATGTCCGAACGAGGACTTATTATTTTTTTTTCTTCGCCCACTATAATTTATGTAAAACATTATATATTTCTATAAATTTTATTTAAGTTTTTCTCGTAACTAATATTATTTTGGAAGTTTTTTTTATTTATGTTATATTTAAAGATATTTATCAATTTTATTGAGGATGTTTTTTTTTAATGTTTAATTTAATTTTCATTTTTTTATACGTTGGTTTTAACTATATATATTGACTTTTACATCTATACTCAATACAATTTCTAAGCATTCAGAAGGGTGATTTATTTATTTGTTCCTCATTATTGGATTAATATATTTTTTAAATATTTGTTTGCATGAATTTGGTAATTCTTTTTTTTTCTCTTCTATTACAGCTTTCACCTATATTTTATTTTCCTCCTCTTTACAGCTTCATCTATTTTACCTGTATTTCCCACTTTTTGAGAAAGCTCGCAGGGGAATTTTACAAATACAGGATTTGTATTTCAATTTTGAAATACCCCTAGCTCCAAAAACTATTCTTCGTTATGATATTGTATTTCTCCTATAGTTAATCATCAAATTCTTCCATATTTTATATTTAACTATTTTTTATGTCAGAGTTAATTGTGAAATGGTTAATTATTTCAAATAAAAAAATTAAAGGTACTTTACAGAAAGAAATATTGAAAATTAGCCATTTAAGCCCTGTTAGAGAACATCAATGAGAATAAAATCTACTTTATATTAAAAACTGCTTAATTATTCATTGATGTGTAAAATCCATTATATTACGTGCCACTTCTGGTTAGCCAACTATGACAAAAAAGTTACTATGACATCCCAGGTATATAAAAACCTTAAAGACTTTTCGTTTTTGAGCTATACTGTTCACATACATACATACATACATACACATACACACACACACACACACATACACAGACCATTTTGCAGGACTTGGTTATTTGGACTCAGGAGACCTCAAAACATGTATTTCTGTTGAAAACTAAGATTAGAAAATTTTGGTCAAACAGCTTTTCCGGTTGCTGGAAAGAGACATTTTGAAACAAAATCAGTGCTTTGCATTTTTTGGAACTGAAAAGGAGTAACCCATCATGAATTTGGTCCTGATGCACAATAAACTCTGACCTCTATTGTGGACAGTTAGATAGAATGTAGTCGAAGCTGTCGCAGCGTTATTCAGCTTTGGTCAACTACAAAGAAGTTCTTTTCCAACAAAAGAATGCCCGGGCACATACGCACGGGCAGCCGGCTGCATACTTCCTGACAGACCAAAGAAAATAAAAAAAAATCTTGATGGTATCAAACATCTACACCCACCATGGCCAATTTCTTAAAAAGAAAAAACAAAAAAAAAAATGGTAAATTTCACAAGGTCGAAACAGCGGTTCACGAATTTTTTAATAGCCATCCAAAAGAGTGGCACCTGCATGGGATCAAGCAACTGGCCAATCAAGCAAGAAAAGTGGGAAATGGCAGTGCACCACAATCAATGGGTTATACTTAGAATATTGATTTCATGTTACATTAATGAAAAATATATTAATTTTTTGTTAAAAAATAAAATTTTATTTTGTACAGCCTATTAATAACTTAAAAATTCATGCAAAACAAAGACAAAATATAGTAAAATAATTTTTTTCTTGGTTCTTATGGCCCATTGGAATGACTCCTAAATGCCAGGACAGGTATCCAAATTTTTTTTCCATGTAGAATCAACAAAACGAGAGGCTTATAAAAAAAAAAAAAAACAAGAGGGGTAGGTATAAGTGGCCCTATCACCCAGTCGTCACCAGCCACTGGTCCTCCAGGTTGGGAGAACAGTATTCTGAGAGACACTCAGTACACTAATTACAGCACACTACAGAAAAAGGTCACATACACTACATATCTTAGGGTCACCTTCCCTAGGAAGCCGGTCAGGATGGAACCCCAGGATGGATGGGGAAGCAGGTAGAGGAGGCAGCCCCTCCACTGGACTCAGGGGCTGAAAGGGCTAATAACCCATATCCCTTAAACCAAAAGTATTATGAACCCTCAAAGGAAATATAGCTGGACTGATTTAAGGAAACGACATAGACATGGAAAAGGAATTGATCTCAAAACAGCGACTTGGAATGTAAGAGGGCTAAACCAACCAGGGAAAAGTAAAAATCTAAAATTGGAACTGGATAAATATAACGTGGATATCGTGGCAATTCAGGAGAGCAAGTGGAAGAATGTAGGATCTGAGGCAGGTACACAATGATAAATAGTGGAAATGAAAACAATGTTTTTGGACCAGGTTTCATGATAAGAAAATCATTAAAGGATACTTTAATAGATTTTAAGTTAATAAACAAGAGAATGTGTAAAATAAGGATAAAAGGGAAGTTCTGTATTATGTCCTTGATTAGTGTACATGCCCCAACTGAAGAAAAGGAAGAGGAGCTTAAAGAAAACTATGTACCCTTACTACTACTACCCTTACAAATGAATTGGAAGAAATTCCTGGATATGACGTAAAAATCATTAATAGATTAATAGACTTTACTACAGAAAATGGCTTCAGGATAATGGGTACGCATTTTAAGCACAAGGAAATCCACAAAGAAACCTGGATATCAGTAGATGGTAACACTAAAAACCAAATAGACCACATACTGGTACATAAAAGACATGCACCCAGTGTTGAAGATGTACGTAGTTATAAAGGTGCTGACTGTGACACAGATCACTACCTTATAAAATCTTTCTTCAAATATAAAATATCCTAGCGACCTTGAGCAATGATTGGAAAGCTACAGAGCTTTAATGTGTGTTAACTGAAGGAAGAGGAATATAGTAAAGATTTGCACAGAAAGTAACCAACAAATTAGTAGATGATTCTGACCAATTAAATAGCAACGATATTGACAGTAAGTGAAATGCTATCAAAACCAGCGGATGAAGTGTTAGGAAAGAGAAATAAAGACTTCTTTAAGAAGGAGATGAAGAAGTGGATCCGCCTGAACAGGAAGAAGTTGAAGAAATCATTGGCGAATTAAGGAACAAAAAGGCTCCTGGTATTGATGGTATACATTCAGAGATGCTAAAAAATGGAGGGGATAATTTAAAAAGATATATATTCCATTTGGTGTGGGATGTTTGGTTTGAAGAGAGAATGGCTGAAGAGTGAAAAATAGCCGCGATATGCCCCATTCATAAAAAAGGCGACAAACTATATTGTGGTAATTATCGAGGGATAACACTACTGAATACAGCCTACAAGGTATTTTCTGTATTATTGAACCGACGGCTGATAAAGTTTTCCGAACAGATAGTGGGAGACTATCAGTGTGATTTCAGGCCTGGAAGATCAACCATCGATCAAATATTCTCATTAAGGAAATTCTTGAAAGGGGATATGAATTTCACGTTGACCTCCATAATATGTTTATCGATTTTAAGCAGGCATACGACAGTATTGATAGAAAAGGATTACTGAAGATAATGTTTATAGTTGAATTGGGAATTCCCAGGAAGCTCACTAATAATTTTTTGTAATATAAAAATGTAATAGTAATACTGAAATTCCATTGTAAATGCATGATAGCAGGATGGAGATAAAAATACAGGGAATGCTATCAGAAGAATTTGCAGTAAATAGTAACCTGAGGCAGAGAGACCCACTATCACCTGTCCTTTTCAAAAAAAGCTAGTAGGGCAATACGAAACAACCCTAATGGAACAATTTATGATCGACTCACACAGCACTTGGCATATGCGGATGATGTGCTCATAATGGCAAGAAGCACTGCAACGTTAGGAGGAAGGAGGGAAGCAGCAGAAGTGGGCCTGCATTTAAATGAAGGAAAAAAAATATTTAAAAACTTCCAGGCACCAACAAATGGAATACCATGATCTGCTGATTGAGGATCACAGTTTTAAAAGTATAAGCACGTTTAAGTATCTGGGTGCAGTCATTGCACATTACAGCAGCATGAAAGAAGAAGTGTATGCAGGTAATAAGTGCCTTTATGCCACACAAAGAACATTAAAGTTTAAAGCTCTTTCCAAAAAAGCAAAACTCATAATTTATGAAACCATACTGAGACCCATAGTTACATATGGATGTGAATCATGGATTTTGACTAATGAAAGTGAAAGGAAGCTCAATGTCTGGAAGGATATATGGGCCAATAAGAGAAAGTGACACGTGGAGGTTAAGAAACAATTACGAGCTCCGTGTAATAGATGACAAACCAGACCTGGTATCATTTGTGAAAAAAGCCCGTCTGAGATGGGTCGGACACGTGGAAAGGATGCCAGAGAATAGAATTCCAAGATGGCTGATATATGGAAAAATTGGAGGGAAGCGATATAGAGGAAGGCCAAGAATGCGATGGTTGGATGGCCTTAAAGAGGACCTCAAGTTGCTAGGAGTAATAAGATGGAGGACGCGAGCGAGAGACAGGAATGACTGGCTTGGAGTCATTGAGGAAGCCACGGTCCTTGTAGAACCTTAGCGCCCAGCAGTAAGTAAATCAACAAAATAAACTTAGTTGAAATCGGTGTCCCACTACTGACTGTGACTTCCTCTTGTTTGATGAAATACTTAATGCATTTTTTCCTCAACAGTTACTCTTCTTTCCTTGACTACACAATTAATTAAAATAACAAAAAATGAAGCTGATTTCATTAAATGCTAAAAACTAAAAATTGGTAATAATTATAATTGATGGTATACTAAACCATTAAAATCACAAAACAGTAACTAGATTTGTAAAAATATCACATTTTACTACAAATATACCTGTAACAAAGCTGGCCCCATAACAGGAAGAAGAAATCCTTTGTATAAAAATTCTAAAATATTTTTTACAAGATGTGGATGAGCTACTTGAACTGAAGCATTGCAAAACTCCAGAGAATTCATAAACGTAGCAAGCTCTGGAATATCATTTACATCATCAGGTGTTAAACAATACCAATCTTCAACTTCAACATTTAATTTCCTGGGCAGTCGAGAATATAAGCCACTTAATCCAGTAGCTAAAACCTATATAAACAAACATCAGAATTTCATAATAAAACAACAGGTTTTTTAAATAGATAATAAAACAGTAATAGATTGTTTGAATATTGCCATTAATAAATAAAGGAAATAAGTACTAAAAATTTTGTTTTAATGTTTATGAATTTCATGATAAGCTAAATAGTGTTTTTAATTGGGAATAGTGTATAATCAATTGATAAAATATCAGGAATTGGTCAAGTATCAAGAGAGAAATACAAAAAAAATTGTATGGCCGCTCAACTGTGTTGAGTTGCTAAATAACACAGCATACTCATCAATCAATAGATAATAAGAAAGAAAGAAAGTTCTATTCTGGGACATTTAGTCCCCTCAGAATAATTATAATGAACAAAGAAATGACACTTGTCTGGCGCTTATGAATAATTAAATGACCATTAAAAATAAATTAATTTACAAAATTGCATAACCTTAATATTAACATAAAGAAAATACACTGTAGTAAATACATGATATTGAAGTAGACATACAAATTTAAAGGTGAATACATATGGGTAGTTCACGTATTTGTACAAATAAGCAATATGTAACACATAGATATCTGCAAGATATCGGTATAATGAAGCTGACATCTCTAAAGTAAAAAAATAACTTTATTTTTACATATATTTACATATATATTTATATAATTATATATATTTGGAAGATTAATTACTGAGGGGATGAAAAATAAATTGTGTTTAAATGAGGTCAAGGGTGAGGATTTCCGTGTAGAGGTTTGCAGGGAATCCCAAAACGAGGTAGCACATATGACGAAGGATTTTTTATAGGAAACAGTTCTATGAGAAGGGATAAACAAATTTGAGGAATGGGATCTCATGTTGAACGAAAGAAAAGAGCAAGCAGTAAAGAAATCAGGAAGGTAAGAAGGTTTTTTTGGTTGTAAAGGTTTGGAAAAGGAATAAACCTAGGCAATATTGCCGTCGGAAAACTGGATAGAGTTACTTCAACTAGGTATAGCAACAGGAGACATGGGAACCCCTGGGGATTCCAAGTATAAATCTAACGAAACAATTCATTAATCTCTTTAATCTGATCTCAAGCCCACCAGACAGTCTACCGTATACAAGGCAGCCATAATCGAAGCGAAGAAAAATGAGAGAGGAAACTAGGAGCTGACGGATTTTAAGGGGCACAGTCACGGAAACTCAGGAACTGTTTGAGGGTAGCAATGGACTTTCGGATAATTTGGGAAATGTGATTATTCCAGGACAGATGGATGTTGATCAAACATTACGCCAAGGTTTCTTACGGAAGTGTAGAAATGTATGGGTAGAGTTTTATCCCATTGAGGTAGAGTAGAGGATAATAAGAAACAAGGTTAATCAGATGCTTGGATCCAATGAGAATGGTTTTGGTCTTCTCAACATTTAATTTTAAATCATTGTTCGCTGCCCACGTATTGATACTGTTGATATCTTTTTGTAGCCTTTGGAGATTGTCCACATATAAATGCTGTTGTCAGTGATGGATAGAATCAGGAAGGTCATTAATATAGATGGAGAAAAGAGTTCGGGAGAGCAAAGATCCCTGAGGAGCACCACTAGATAATAAGAGGGGGGAGGAAGGAGTTTTATTGGGAGTTTTAATGGGATATTTGATGGAAAGGTTTTACAGTTTGGTAAGGAGAATTTTGTGATTTACAGAATTGAAAGCCTTTGAAAAATCAAATATGACTAGGATCAAGATTTTCTGTTTATCTATAGAGAAATGAAGGTCCAGGGAAATTTTCAGCAAAGCGGATTGGGTGGATAACTGGGATCGGAAACCAGACTGGAAGGGATTGAGGAGAGCTTTTAGCTCAAGGATGGTATTAAGCTGTGAGTGGACTATTCTTTCATGAGGCTTTGAAAGATTGGAGAGAAAGGAGATGGGTCTGAAATCGGAAACTTTGGAGGGAACCGGAACTTTGCTCAGTTTGCTGGGCGGACAATAACTTTTTTCCAAGGTGATGGGAAACTGGAATTTTGTACAGAAAAATTGTAGATATGCAGTAGGGCAGGAAGACATCATTTGATTAACTTCACAGGAATTAGGTCCGGGCCATAGTCGTTTGTTCTGGATTTTAGGACAAAGGAAAGTAGGTCTTCTGGCAAAATATTTGTAAAATAGAAATTTTCAGGATCAAAGGAAGCTTTAGGAATATAGTATGAGGAGGAAAGTGGTAATAAGATAATCGATAAAGTGGGAATTCAGTTGATCTGAAGAAACAGGATAGGAGATGCAGGTTTTTGATTTTAGCACAGAGATGTTTATAAGGATTTTCCATCTGGACTTAGGATCTGAGGCGCATGATGCACGTCGCAAAGAAGATTGGGTAAGGTTTCGAAGAGTCTTAAAAGAGAAGTAGTAATCTGGATTACGTGTTGGTCTGAAACGCCTCCTTTCAGCATCTCTTCTCTTCATCATCTTTCTTATTTCTGGATTAATCCAGGGGGCGTCTGAAGGTCGAAATCTTCAAGGGGGCATGCTGCTTTAGAAATACGAGAAGGTTTTAGGAAAGACACTCCACCATTTCATCAATAGAGTAAGAATAGATCGGATCTACGGATTGGCCTAGTGATTCGAGGAAAGGATTTAGTTTTTCAGAGGTCAATAAACCAAGATTCCGTTATGTAATTTACCTGGGAATGAACTTGGAAGTCGGGACATTATAGGAAATCTTGATGAGATCATAATGTGAAAGGAAGGAAACAGAGTTATGAGCAGAGGATAATAAGTTTTGAGGGGAATTGATTAGAAAAAGGTCGATCCATATGCTCGAGTACTGGGTATGGTGAGTGGATTGAAAAGGATCGATAAATAGGTCAAGAGAATGAATTAGATCTATAAGATATGATTTGTCAGGGGAGTCGGAGGATAAATTGGTATTAAAGTCGCTGGCTATTATTACATTGTTGTATAAAGGAACGTAGGTAAAAAGGGAGGATTCGAAGGCAGGATCAAATTGGACATGGGGAGGGCGATATGTAATGACGTAAAGGATGGAAAAGGAATTTGAAGAAATTTCTACAAATAAATACTCTAAGTGAGAAAAGTCGGGAGAGGGAGAGTTGTGCTGGATTTTTGCCCTCAGACTCTCATAAACATAAAGGCATACATCACCACCTGTTCGATCATAACAGATGAGGGCATGGTTAGGAATGGATATAGAGGAAGAGGGAATATTAGGCTTGAGCCAGGTTTCCGAAACGACAATAATATGATAAAAATTATGAACGAAATAATCTTGGAATTCATCAAAGTGAGCGGAAAGGGATTGGGAGTTAACATGGTACGTTAATAGGATATTAGTCATTTAAGGATATACATCGTTGAAAGTTTGAAAAGGAAAGGGCCAATCATAAATTAGTGAATTTGAGTTTCCACTATTTTCCACAAAACTTGGTGTGAAAATGTGTTAAACTACCAATTAAACATCGAGTAAGTAAAGGAGGTAACTGGACTTTTCAAAAACATAATGAAATCCTATTATATAGATGAGTGATAAAAAAAGAAAAAGATTTTGTGGAGACAAGTTACAATTCCTCACATCTCTAGTTCTCGAAAAAGCTGATATTATAGAAAATAAAGGTACAGATATGTTTCAAACACACAAAAAAAAAGAGCCTTGGGAGGAAATTCTTGCCGAATTCAATGAGAAGATTGTTTTCCCCACTCCCCTTGAACGATTCAGTAATAGAAGGTAACGGTGGTGTTAGCGTACAATAACCTGTTGTTTTATTATTATCTATGGGTGACTCAATAAATATTTAGTGTCGCGGACATACATTTCCTCACTTGACAAGTTTTCGAAAGAGTGTCAGTTCTGGAAAACAAGAAAACTCTTGAAAAGTATCAAGTTTGCTGCAATATCCTTATCAAGTGTATCAGAGTTCTCATATATTTTGATTTGTTGGTGTTCATAGTATTATTTTGTATGGTAATAGCTAAAATAGAAAGACAGAAAGCCTATGTAAGTCAATTAGCTTTGTCAGAACTTATCATCCTATGTTTTGCGTTTACAGAATTTGTTCCTTTGATGATAGCAGGTTGTAATGTTACAATATTAATTTATCATGTAATTTAATTAAATTTGTCAAACATTTTCAATTTATTTTTTCGTTGTAACTGACAATGATCCAGTTTTAATCTAAGAACTACTTATTATTAAACCATTTAAAGTGGTTGTACAATATTGGGGGGTCCGGTACATGCTAGATGACCAGGAGCCCTTTTCTTGTAAAGCAAAAAAAAAATGAAAAGTTCGATGGAGGAATATTTGTGAATGAAGTCACTACTTCTTTTGCTAATTTCCGTTTATTATAACTTCCAATTAATGTCCTGGAAGGGGCAATCCATTTTAGTGGGTTAATTAATTATAGTGATCTGAACATAAAATTTGATGAGGGGCCAGTCTCATTCCTGTGGTTTGTCACCTCTCCCTCACCGCTCGTCCAATGTGTTGGAACTGGTGTCCAGCTAATGTTTAGCCAAAGGGCTGTAATTCTCTCTCTGTTAGCCGTGGACCCGTGTATTTGGTAGAGTGATTGGGGCAGCAGCGTGGCTGCGTGCTTCGTCTACAAGCATCTGATCCTTAGAAGTAGATAACGTCTTCGAGAGGAGGTAGGAAAGGATAAGACCAGGAGGCCCCTGTGTTAATGACCTTGAAGATTACACCACTGCATTTCGACTTACTCAAATTTATTCGATGTAGGGGTCTCGTGGGCGGGGTGGCCGAATGGGCTAAAGCGTGTGCACTGCACCGCCGTTGCCTGGCAACCTGACATATGAATCAAAGATATAAAAATAGTCACGAGTTCGCGTCCCGGTGCCGGGGGAGTCTTTTGAATCCCCCCTCACACCCCCTGCCCCGGGAAAATCCCGTATAGCCTTAACGGCGAGGAAGGGAAGGACCCAAAAAAAAAAAAAAATAGATGTAGGGGTCTACTAGTTACATGTTATCGGAGACGATGTTTTTGAAAATGACCTCTATTTTAAGATTATGCCACTATGTTTTGGGTTATTTAAGTTTTTTGGATTTATTTGATATAAGGATCTACTTATATGTTATAGGAGACCGGAAAACAGTGGCATAATCTTAAAATAGAGGTCATTTTCAAAAACTAGGTCTCTGTAAACATAAAAGTACACCCTGATATCGAATGAATTCGAAAAAATGAAGCAATTATATCGAATAAATTCGAAAAACTTAAATAAGTCGAAATACAGTGAGGTAATCTTAAAATGGAAGTCATTTTCAAAATCTACAGCTCCGGAAACATAAAAGTAGACCCTTACAAGGAATAAATTCGAAAAAACTTCAATAAGTCGAAACGCAGTGGCGTAATCTTAAATGGAGGTAATTTTCAAAATCTACGGCTCCGGAAACATAATAATACGCCCTTATATCGAATACATCCAAAAAACTTAAATAAATCAAAATGCTAAGGTGCAATCTTAAAATGGAGGTTATTTTCAAGAAATACGCGTATGATAATTGACCCATACATCGAAAAATTAAAAGTAATTAAATGAATAAAAAAAGGTTGAATTTGAAAAGGAAAAGGTTGAATTTGACTTGGAAATGCTATAAATATATAATTTTTTCAATTCAAATATATAATGTTAAGTCCAAAAAAATGAAAAGATTTGTAAAATGAGTGTTAAAGAAATAGGTAAATTATACTTACAGGGCATATTTTAGATTCATCGACTATGTAATCAGCAAGAGAATCATTTTGTTTTGACAAAGCTATACACAATAATAATGAATCACGTGCTTGCTGGCCAAGAGTGCCTTCACGATGAACAAATGGAATCAAAAGAGAAAAAATAATGAACCTGTAAAATATTTAATTTATTAATATTTAAAAATAAAACTAAATATTAAGATACAAAAAAAATAAAATTTTAAAGAAAATCGCATTGAGGATTGAAATTAATTAGGCTTATAGAATAATTTTCAACAAAGTTAGTATTCATTTGGTGTCTATTTTATTAGGCATTTCTGAATAAAACACAAAAAACAGTAATTATATAAATAAAATAACTACTCTAGATAAAATAAAAATAAAAAAACTAGTGATGTTCACAACTTACACTTACAAACCTACTTTGGGAGGAAATTAATTTCTGCTCAAGTAGGGTTCTCTTGTTTAATATTAAAATTCATAATTAGGTCTAAAGTTATTACCATTTGTTTTTCCTACCTGTCATTATTTTTCTCATCAAGTTCATGAGATTTCAGTCACCGTCCATTTCGCTTCCAATTTTATTTATATGTGCAATACTAATTTTCTAAAATCTTTAGTTTTTCCATGGTATATCATACATCTATATTACTACTTTTATTTTGGGAAATTTGTTTTCAATCAGAAAATATTTCACCCTTTTTTCTCCTTTAGTTAATTATCAAATTGAACTGAAGATTATATTTATCTATTTTTTATTACTAGGTACGAAAAATGATAGATAATTGATTATTTAAAATAAACAAAATTAAAGGTACTTTAGAAAAAGCCATTTAAAAATGGGCATTAGTCCTAATTCCTAAGTCCTATCAGATTATTTCAACGAAGAAAAGATCTATTTGATATTAAAGACCATTTAATTTTGTTTATTTATTTTTTCTATTGCCATTACAAACTATGTGAATATTTTGCCTCCTTAACAAGCCTGCTCTCTCCATTTCTGCCTGTCTTGTGCTATTTCTTTCCAGTTAACTGCACGTAGCTCTATTGTATCTTTGATTTTTTTTTTTTTTTTGGCATTGGAATTTTCCATGCAGCCAGTATAAATGATTATTTAGTTGGGTTCCTATTCTTCACTATTTCCATATTAAATACATCTATTTATTGAATACAAATATTGTGTAATATTGATAATTTCCTCAGACTGTGTATCCAAGGATTTTATGATTCTTTCCGATGTGGACCCCTCCATTTTTCTGTGATCTTGTTCTTATCACCTTCTCCAGAGCTAAGATGAACATCGGTGATAGATAGTCCATCTCCCTGTCCTAAACCCGTTCAAACTTTGAAGGCTTCAGATAATTCTCCTTGTATTAGGACTGTACATTTAGGGTCATTTGTATACACCTTTGTCAATTTCACCAACTTACTGGGAACTCACAGTTCAGTCATGATTTTCCAAAGAATCATAGGCTGCTTTGAAATGGACAAATAGGGCAAGGACAAAAAGGGTGAGCTACTTTCCATCGTTTTTCGAGTACTTGTTTTGGGCCATTTAATATATAAAAAGAAAATTGTAAAAAAATTGCAAAATTGATTAAATAAAGTGGCACTTGCAGTTAAGTTGATTTTAATGAAAAAGTTGCTTACTTCCTAGGCATATATATACCTACCTCAAATACGTAATTTCATACAACTTCATATTCCAGCTAATGTGAATCCAGTTAAATATGGATGTTGCAAATTATTTTCAGTAAAAGGTCTTTTGGATAATTTAAATAATAATTAAATATGAAAATAAATAATTGAAAGTTATTCAATGAAATAACTAGGCATACAGGATATATTTCCAAAAAATGGCTCCTTAATAGCAACTCATCTGTCACCGGAATATTTTCAAATAATAATACGAGAGCATCTGCTAAAAAACTGTAAACTTTCACTATAAGCAACACACAAGAATTCTTAAAAATGAACAAGAATATTATAATCATAAATATTAAAACTTAATTAATATTAATTTATTATATAAGAAATCAGGTTAAACAATTATACTATTACTTTTACTAAAAATATAACTAAATCTAGTTGTTAGTTGGGCTTAGGAACTCAACTCTGTGTATATCCAACTCACTTAGGTGAGTCATTAGTCCTTTTTTCAAAAAAATTATAGAGAAGATGGCTTTGATGAATGAATGAAACACACAGTTGGTTTAATAGCACCACAAGTCTCTTCTCTACTTCCAGTGAGAAACATATCTCAGAACAAGATTTTAAAAGTTTTAGGAGAGTACAATGAAATGAATCATGATTTAGAAGTTGCTTATTTGCATAGCATACCAATACTTCATAAAGCTTCAACTGTTCAATAATCAGTGTATTTTCATACCTGAAACAATAAAATAATTATATGAAATTGCAAAATACCACTTTGTTATATATTGAGCTATAGCTCAAAATTGTATAGGTTTTTTTAAATGAAAATTGTATAATAATGTTTTATATAGCTATGTACAAGTAGTAATGATTATATTTTCTGTTAATAAAAATATATTACTTTTTTAATTAAAACCTATTTAAGTAAATGGTTTATAAAAACATTTATATAAAAACTTTTTCAGTGGATAGAAATAAAAACCTCCATGAATGCAAACAAATTTTTGTATTTATTACATTTTACTATATAGTAAACGTTTCGGGAACCATTTTCCCATCATCAGAACTATCCTTGACATTCGTTTGTATAAAATTTCTATAGTATAAAAAAAACTGTTGTTACAAGATTGTTAATTTAATTGTTGTTAATGAATTAATTAGCTATAATACTTACCCAGTTGTGCTCTTTCTTCATATTTTATATATTCCATCAAAGTTGTTGTTATTCAGAGCCACCATTTCACCTGATTAACAATCGGGTACCTGTATTAACCACTAAGGGTAATTCTTCATACTTTGTACTGTTTCTTTTCTTTTATTATTTATTATACATTTTCCTTTCAATATGGGTATGAAAGTTGTTATTGGTAATTATTAGAAATGCAGTTAATTTTGTTGAGAATATCAGAATAATGTGCTCCTGGATGTTTCGTACTTTACTGTTATACTGTTGTTTTTTGTAGAGTTCAACTGATACCGATATTAATATTGGCATATAGGCCTTTTGGCCAATTATTGCTATCGGCCAATATCTTCTTCTTCTTTCTCTAGCTCCTTTGTGCCGTTAAGCGTGGAGCTGAAATCCAAGCCCATCTTGCCCAATGGTCTCTCATCTCCTACAGGAAGATGAGTGCGTCCTCTTGCTGTGCCCAGTTTTCCAATGTAATCATGGTACATATGTCTAGACCTGCCACAAGGTCTTCTGCCTTACGGTCTAGCTTCCATAAACCACCTGGCATTTCGGGTGTTATCTATTCTGCAGATGTGCCTGAACCATTTCAACTGCTTCTCTTCTAGGATGCCACGGATTGATGCCACCTCCAATTCCTCACGAATTCTGTCATTTCTGATACAGTCCCTCTTAGTTTTGGCAGCTATTCTTCGGAGGAATCCCATTTCCACTGCTGTGATCCTTCCTACGTGCTCATTGAGGGTTGTCCAGCTTTCAGATCAATACAGAAGCACTGGGAGGAACACCGCCTTATATATCGTGAATTTGGTCTTTATGCTTACTTCCCGTTTACCTATCATCTTCTTCCTTCCACTCGACTAATGATGTCTGTAGAGCCTCTAGTGAGTCCACTATAAGGATTATATTGTCGGCATATAACATAGCTTGAGCCAACACTGGTGTCAAATTCCAACAACAGCCCTTGAGGTTCTTCTTCTATAGTTCCCGCATTCGCTTTGGTTGCCTTTCATGTGTATAGGGATTATGACATTGTTCACCCATTCTTGTGGAATCAGTTTGAGGTCCCAAATCTTTAGGAAAAGAGTTTGAAGGATCTTTATCATTTCATTGCCTCCACATTTAATTAATTCTGGAGCTATTTCATCTGGTCAAGGTGCTTTTCCCATTTTGATCCTGGCTACAGCTGTTTCCACCTCATCCTCGCCTATTGCATCATCCAAGTACTCTGGGTAAACCTCTTCCACCCTCACTCTCCTTCTGCAGTCTCTGTGATTATGGAGCCGATGTTCTTCCATACTAAATTTTTCCTGGAAGAACTGTCTCCAAATTTCTAATACTGCTTTTTCTTCAGTCAGCAACTTGCCATTTGCATCTTTTATATTTCTGACCGGTTTTGACTTTTTGGCTTTCAGAGCTCTTGCAATATGCCAGAATCTCCTTATATTATCTTTATAATTCTGTTCTAGCTCCTGACCGAATATCAGAGTAATGTGTTCCTAAGGGGGGCAAATGAGTAGTGTAATGGGAGGTCTAGAGAGGGAGATGGGTGCCGGAGTCTCCCACACTCTTTGCGGAACGACCGAGCGTCAGTGACCTACCTACTGCTAAGGAGTTCCCAGATCTCCTTATCCCTATCAACACCTAGCCTGTCAACTCCATGTGGTGTCCCCGAGGAGTCCGATGGGACTCGGGGACGATAGAGGCGGGGTTCATCGCATCCATCCATATATATATATATATATATATATATGGGATGGATGCGATGACCCTGTTAGGCACCCAACCCAAGCTAGGTATGGGCGCTCGAGCTGAGGCTGAGTGGTAGGGGTGGGTAAAAATGCACTGTCTTTTATCGACCGTCTTGTGGCACAAGGCGACACCCCATTCCATAATAGCTGGCTGTAGGGACAGGGGGCAGTACGTACGGTCTATTTTCCCTTATACTCGTGAGAACAAAATGCAGGATCCTAAAATAACCAAAAAACAAAAACTCAAATGACAGGACTTACAGACTGGACGGACTTTTTCTTCCGAGGAAGATTCTTCTTCCTCAGAACACAAACACCCTGAATTGCATTGATGGGACACACTTATAGATCTCTCATGGCAGAAGTCAAGGGACTTCAAGTTTGTTATGAAGGCAAGGAAATTAGGAAGGTGACAACAGCTGAGGCTGGAGCTGTTGCCCTACCTCCACAAAACCTTGAAGTAACAGGGCTGACAGATTCAAACATTCAGATGGTAGGCGGTGAACTCGTTTTGAAAGAAGCAGTTCCTGCCACACTGAAATAATCTAAAACAATAAGAAGGCGGCAAAGGAGGAACAGAATGGCTGCCAAAATCATCCTAAAAACACATCCGGAAGTGGGACCAACATTAGGGCATTCAGCAAAGGATGCAAGGGTCATCCCAGACCCTGCAAACAAGGACGAGGTGTCCGACATGAGGGTCTCTGTTTCAAGGATGCAACAAGATATCAAAGAGCCTAGTGGTGGGCGGGAGGCTAAGGTTGCAAGGGCCAATTATGGCCCAGAAATCAAGGCTGAACTGCCCTCTGCAAATGCTCCGAGAAAACACTTAACCCAAATGGGGATGACCTTTTGACCACCAGCTAAAGATGCAGAGGCATTAAAAGAACTCATCCCTGATAAGGTGGATGAGCTTGAAGAGCATGGAGAGTACCACGCACTTTTTGATGGCAGTAGCTAGTATGCATGAATAACGAAACATGCACATGGTTGGATAAAATCATCCCGAGCATCAACTTAGCAGAGGGAATTACCCTTCGCACAGGGGATGCCCAGGAACTTACAAAAACCTTAAAGATAGGTGCCTTCTTTCAGGGGAGGATACTTACCGATGAGGCTTTAATGAAAATATTAAGAACGCAGAACACCACAACTAAAGGAGTAAATGAGTGGTATCTGCACTATCTAAAAGAAATGGATAAGGGATTCTTTGCCATTATTAGAACCCCTGACTCCAACTTAGAAAGTCTCAAGAAACACGGCATGAAAGCTGGTTATGGCTTCTGCCACAGGAACCACCGGATAATCAACCATCTAATACTTTTAATGTAAGAAGTTTTGGACAATGAGCACTGGAGGAAACCGGAGGAGGGACTGATCCCAAAGACTCAGTTAAGGCTGGGTCTGAGGGTGAAAGCCTGCCACGGCCTCCACCCGGGAGTCTGTCCAATATGTCTACTAATTAAATTACTTAGATGAGGATGCTGCAAATAAATCTACACCACTGGAATTGGAATTGGAAAATGAATTTTTGGAGTTTATCAAATCTAAAGATGGAAAATTCTATTTCGAGGATATGTAAAAGTTGCAAACACATTGGCAAAAATGTATTGATAGTAGTGGAGACTGTTTTGATTAAATAAAACAGTTGTAAATCTTCCTTTTTTTCTTTTTAAACCAAAATCCTACATTATTATCTGGACAACCCAATATATTCCAAAAACTTACTTTGACCCTGAATATTTCTATTTTACAAATATTTCACCAGAAGGCGTGCTTTTCTCTGTCCTAAAATCCAGAACGAACGACTATGGTCGGAATCTAATTTCTGTGAAGTCAATCAAACTATGTCTTCCTGTCCTACTGCACGTCTCCAATTTCTCCTTAAAATATTCCAGTATTCCGTCTGCTTCGAAAAAAGTTTTTGTCCACCCATTGAGCAAATTTCCGGTTCTCTCCAAAGTTTCCAATTTCAGACCCATCTCAATTCTCTATAATCGTTTAAAACCTCTTGAAAGACTAGTCCATTCATAGCTTAATATCTCCCTAGAGCAAAAAGCCCTCCAGTCTGGATTCTGAAGTTCTCCACCCAATCTGCTTTGTTGAAAATAATCCAAGACCTTCATTTCTCCATAGACAAACAGAAAATCTCCATCCTGGTTCTCTTGGTTTTTTTCAAAAGCCTTTAATTCAGTTAATGACAAAATCCCCCTTTCCAAACTCCGAAACCTTTCCATATCTAATAGTGTTCTAAAGTGCTTTAATTCATTCTTGTCTCAAAGATCCCAAACAGCCATCATTCCCAATAAAACTCCTTCCTCCCCTCCTCTTATTAATTCGTGGTGTTCCTCAGGAAACTTCGCTCTCTTCAACTCTTTTCTCTATCTATATTAATGACCTTCCTGATTCCATCTATCATATATACCATTTATATGCTGATGATATCCAAATCTACCTTTCCTTCCATCTTACCGAGATGCTTGAGGTGATCTGAAGGCTACAAGAAGATATTGACAGTAATAATACTTGAGCAACGAGTAATGATTTAAAATTGAATGTTGGGAAGACCAAAGCTATTCTCAATGGTTCCAAGCTTCTGATTAATTCCATTCCTTATCATCTCATACACTGCCTCAATGGGCTACCCACCCGTTTCCGCTCTTCCATTAGAAACCTTGGAGTAATGTTTGATCAGTATCTGTTCTGGAATAATCACATTTTCCAAATAATCCAAAAATCCATCGCTACCCTCAAACAGTTCCTGAGATTCTGTGATTCTATGCCCCTTAAAATTCATCAGCTCCTTGTTTCCTTTCTCATTTACCCTCACTTCGTTTACGGCTGCCTTGTCTACGGTTAACTGTCTGATGGGCTTGAGATCAGATTAAAGAGAATGATGAATTGTTTCATTAGATTTATCTTTGGAGTCCCCAAGCACTCCCAACTCTCCAGTTGCTATGCTGAGTTGAAGTGGCTCTATCCAGTTTACAGCAATATTTCCTAGGTGTATTCCTTTTCCGAATCTTTACAACCAACAAACCTTCTTACCTTCTCGATTTGTTTGATCCTTGTTACTCTGTCTATTTGTTCAATACAAGGTCCTAACCCTAAAACCTGTTTATTTCTTCGTATAGAACTGCTTCCTTTACAAAAATCCTTTGTCATACTTGCTACTTTGTTTTGGAATTCCCTAACAACTTCCATACGCAAATCCTCATTCTGGACCTCATTTAAACACCATTTACTTTCCCATCTCCTCAGCAATCAATCTTTTGAATATATGCAAAAATAATGTTTTCGTATTTTAGAGCTGTCAGTCGCATTTTACTGTTATCATACAGATACCTATGTATTATCCATTTGCTTACTTGTAAAAATATGTAAACTCACTCATATGTATTTATCTATAATTTCATATGTCTACTAGTGTTTTTTCTTCATTTTAATTTTACGTTAGATAGCATTGTAAATTAATTTATTTTTAATTGTTTTCTAATGCCAGACAATTGTCATTTCATTGTTCATTGTAGTTATTCCTAAGGGACTAAATGTCCCAGAATAAAATTTACTTTTATTTTTCTTCTTCTACATATAACAGCCATGTCAATACATATACTAAAGATAACAGATTTTTTTATTTCAAAACTTATTGAAAATATAAAATTTTGCCTGCTGAAATTGGCCAATAGTTTAAGAATCACCCAAATACATTTGTTTTTAGACCCTAATAAGAAAACTCAAGAAACAAATTTCATAAGGAAGAAAAAATATTAATGAATTTATAGATAGTTTATTTAATTTGATTAATTTGTTTTTAATAAAATTTAATATGTATTTTTTTACATCTATTTACTAACTACGTATTATAGTTTATATAAACAAACTATGTGTTATAATTTCAAATATCAATAAACATTTCTATATGAATAGAATAGAGTCATTCTATAGTTGATTTTAATCATACTCATAAAGCCTAAATGTAGTACATTAGTTGGAAAAATAATAATTTAGATGAAAAAATCTTATAGATCTTACAATTTCAAACTTTCAATTAGAAATAGATTAAATAACCTATATACAGACAAACTTGATGTCTGATATACATGTGAAAAGTATTGTTGAAAAAGAAATTTATAGTTACTTGGGATGAATTTACTAACTTTCCTGTTTGAAGACTCCAATTGAAAAAAATTTCCAAGATGTTTTCATTAATTATATACTCAAGACATTTCAAAGAAGGACGGGAAGATTGAAGTTCAAGCAAAAGTAATCGGATCATGAAGTCCAAATTTGATACAACTGATAGAATTTCATCATGTTTAACTCCAGTTTTTGGAAGCTAAAAACAAAACAAAAATGAATGTTTTAACTTAATAATAATTAGAGACCAAGGTATCTAACAACTATTAATAAGAAATGATCTTGTCAAAGAGGATAATTTAGACAAGTAGAGTAAATAAATATTCTGTAAAGAGTTTATTATTCTGTAAATTTAATTAACTTTTTATACTACAGAATTAAAGCAATAATAAAAAATACATATCCCTAGTCATTTACACTATTAAAATAAACTAGAGGTCAAAAAAACAGGCACACCTTGAATTTTATGTGAAAACTGCACAGTTCTGAAGACAGGGCCCAAAAATCGACCTGATCGCGGGTGAAGGTTTGATTGTATATTACGAAAGTGCAAGTTATTCCAAGTAAAATGAACCTTGCCTGCCATTCCAGTGCTGCTTCTTTCAAAAACGGTGGCTGATTTAAAGAATATTAGGCCAGTAACTTGAGGTTCAAAACGGAAAATCCATTGCAAAAACTTGTGAGAAAAGTTTTTATTTTTTTAAAGTGTATATATATATGGGTTTAGACATGTAAAAACAAAATTGCTAATGTGGGACACCAAGGGAGTTCCTAAACCTAATAATTTGGCTAAGTGGTATGGTATAAAACCTTGGTCAACCAATTTGTCAAAAACTGAGTCAAATTACTATAGTTGGTCCTATAGCTTGGAATTAAGTTCCTTAAAAGGAAAAACCCATAGAATTAAAGTTTTATGGCATCAAATTTTGTGGCCACTGAGTACCAACTATTTTAATGTAGGTCATTTACTCCAAATAAAATCAGTAATCTCCCGATGGCTAGAAATCGATAATGAAGGTATGTATAAGCATGTTTTCCACTTCTCAGCAACAAAAGATTTTGATAAACGATGTGTCACCGAATTTCTTAAGAAGTAACGAATCCCGATTCGAGATATACCTAGTCCTGCCATAAATATTGTTACAAGGAAATATATACAGATTTCAACAGAAAAATAAATTTTTTCATAAACTTTATTAGAAAATAAAATGTATATCTATAGAGAGTAAAACAAAAAAGAAATTACTTAAAATGTTCCCCTTTTGCCTTGACAGAGGCTTTAAATATCTATGGCCAGTCATCAATAGCATCACGCAGCACTTCTTGAAGAAAGTGCTCAACTGCTCGGCCAGAGATTGTTTGAGGCTTTCCAAGTTAGGGTGTGCTCTGTGGCATGCCATCATCTCCAGTTCGTACCAAAGCCGATAATCTAGTGGGTTGAGATCAGGGCTTCTTGCAACACATTGCATCTATCCACTCTAATTTTTTTTAGGGAAGTGGTTAGCCTTTGTCCTGTCATTCTTCAAAATGCACCCATCTTAAGGTCACTTTTTATCATGCGAGACATTGATCTGACAGAGATTCCCATTTTCTGAGACAAGATATATTGTTTTCGAATGGGATTTCTTCTCATTTGAGCAGCCACTGCTCTTACTGCCTCATTGCCAATGCAGTGAATTCATAATTGCCTCAGAGGCACAAAATTCAGGATGCCATTTTGTTTTTGAGCGACCAGCTGTGCCAAAAATAATTAAACCCAGTGACATCTTGTTGGAAAGGCCTTAAGCAACAGATAATACTCAACTGAAATGCACCTGGAGGAGGTCATCAGTTAGTTATCCTAACCTCACCAGCATTCCTGATACCCATAACTTAGAACTTGATTGCTCAGTTGCATTCAATCTTATCAAATTCAATGGCAATTCATTGGACAACAATGTTACATTACAGGAACTATCATAGTGCCATCCGAGCTCCAAGAGTTCGATATTCCAGTGCCAATCTCACCTCACTTGCCCTAGTGCTCCGATTCTCACAGAATCTGAGTGTCCAGTTGCATCAGATCAACCTACCAACCTATCCAGTGACATTTCACTGACAAGATCACTTCATACGCTTTGGTGCACCTTCAAGAGGTCCCCAGTTAGTAGCAGAACCAAACCTTCAAAGATGCAACTGCCCAACCACACAAAGTCTATATGCCCAGCTGTGCCATACTCCAACAGAACCAACGACATTTCATTAGAAAAACATTCTGCCCAAGATGATCCACATCAGCAGAACACCTCCAAGAGATCAATAGAGCTTCAAGAGCCACATTAGACAGGACCTGAATGCCCAGCTGCATTCAGTAAATTCCTAGTATATTCCTATATACTAGTGTTATTTCCTTATATTAGTAAATATAAGTATATTCCTAGTAATTTTTAGCAACATTTCGCTGCTTTTAGCTGATCTTCGACTACATCGTGCCTCCATGAGGTTACTAGTCGATCATCAGTCTTTCCTAAACAGACGCCATGAGTCCCATTCCAAAAAATCTGAGTGCCCAGCTGCGTCATATTTCAATAAACCCGACATTTCGTTGGAAGGTCTACATCTCAGCTCCATGAGGTCAATAGTTGATTACCATTCCAAATTGGACAGGCTTGAAGAGCCTCATTCTAAAACACCTGATCACACAGCTGCGTCAGATTGTAAAAATTCCAGCCACATTGCTTTAAGACACTCCCATTGGCGGAATAAGGCAAAATCGCAATATATCTTTAAGAGATATTCAATTGAATATAGTTTACCTCCAGCTAGTTATGTGACTCTGCAGCCAAACTCTACAGCTGCTTAGAGAAATCATATATTTAATTCGGGTGGGAGACACTGATTTAATTTTATTTCCTTCATATATCCGCCCAGAACTCTTGTGCTATAACCAAGATGGCAGATATATGATCCTCGGATTGCGGCGGTTCTATAATACACATCCCTTCTTAAGTTTCCGTAGAACCTGCCTAAGAATAGTTTATTAATCACATTGTTAAAATCCTAGCTTCCATTCATAGTTCACAACTGTTAGAGTAAATTACTCTAAAACTTAATGCAATGTGAAATCTTTAGTTTTGGAATCAATATCTTTTGATTAATCATTTTGCAATCCATGATCATTAAATTAGTTTCAGTTCTTCCACTTCATTTCCAATTTCTTTTTGTATACTTCTCTGGTAGCTTCTCAAGACTTTTGTGCAATGAAGACCCAAGGTCTTCTAGCTTACAAATTCAAAATTGTCTGTTCCTAACACTAATAGTTCTGGATAACTTTCCATTCCACATACGCCTGTTTATGTTCCCATGGTCCTTGCAGCGTGGCGGTATGTGTAACATTTTTTTGATATTTGAATAAATTATTCATTAACTACATTTTTATACATGATTTCAAATAGTCATTCATAGTGTAAGGTAACTGCAACTTCTACACCATTGTGTAAGATGCCTACACCATTCATTCTTAATATTCCTGCAATTGGTTTATTAACATACAGTTCAGGTGGCTTTACTCCAGTATTTAAACATATTTGGTCTATTCTAATCAACATTCAACCCAATTGTAGCTTTCTCATCCAACAAACTATTCTTCCAAGAAGAATTAGTAAACATCCTATGTAGACAACCTCCATTTCCATGAATTGAAAGGTCTTCTCAGGGTGGATGGCATCTCCTCAGGTGTCAAACACCATGTTTTCTGTCCAATTTTAAATTTCAATACACATTTTGGTGAGCGAAATGCTGGGGCCAACATAGGTCAGTTAATTTTATTTTATTGTGACCATATCTTCATATGGGGAGGTCATTTTTATTTTTTTTATAAATATACAGTTATTTATTTTATCTTTTTATAGTTATTTTTATGAAATAACATCATTGTACAAGGCCTATATACTTTTACTACGAGATATCCCAGCGACAAATTTTTTGGCCACTTCCGGCACAGATCGCCTCTTGTTGTGTCACATGATACGAGAGAAGCAAAAAGAAAACAATACGAGGCTAATATGGCCGCTAGCGCTGTGTAAAGAACTGCCTCCATGAGGTTCTTCGTCCAATCACCATTCCTCCTGGCAAACCCATGGTTTCATCTCCTCAGGTTGTGACGGTGATTTCCCACATCTGGGACATTGCTCTCCTCCAAGAGGACGTATGTCAGGCCACTACAGAGGAGTTAAAAGGGAAAAATATGACTGGCCGGCTGGAGGTAATTGTATTTAATTTCTTCTTCTTATTCAAGATTCTCTTCTACCTTTCGGTGTAGAGATTTTTGTATAAGGATTTCCATACGTCTCTGTCGAGGGCTGCTCTCCTGACTTCCGGCTATCAAATTCCTCTGTCTTTAAGAATATTCTTGAGATTATCTTCCTAAGTCATTCTTGGTCTTCCTCTAGGTCGTTTTCCTGCTGGTTTAGCCTTCATAATTTTCTTTGCTGAATGGCGGTCATCTAGCCTCATTACATGACCGAACCATCGAAGCTGCCCTTTCTCTATTATCTGGTTGAGGGGATTCAATTTTTAGTGTAGTCTGTATCGTTGTGTATTCAGTCTCTCTTGGTCTTTCCCTCTATTTTCGTAAGATATCTCATTTCTATGCTTTGGAGGAGGCTGTGATCACGTAGCTTCAGAGCCCAGGATTCGCTTCCATAAGAGGATAGGGACGAATGTCGAGCAATAGACGGCTAGTTTTGTTTCGTTTGCCACTTCTCTCTTACTTAAAAACTTTCTATTGATGGCAGAGAACATCCTTCCTGAAGTGGCAACTCTCGTATTAATTTCGTCTCTGATCTTCCCGCTCTCACTGATCGTCACACCCAAATAATTAAACGTAGGAACCTGCTGTATCATCTCCTCATGAATGTGAATCCCAAAATCCTTCTTGTTTCTGGACATAAGCATACACTTAGTCTTGGAAGTGCTAATGACCATATTTCTTTTTGCTAACTCTTTTGCCCAGACATTTAAATTTGCCTGTAACTTTTCTTTACTGTCAGCTATTAGCATAATGTCATCAGCAAATTCAAACAATGAACAGTTGACTGGTTGCAATTTTCAATATCCAAGTGTTGTCTCCCTTGTTTTCCTCTTACATTAACATACAGTATCTTAATAACACCATCCATGAGGGTGATAAAATATAGAGGGCTCCCTATGTCTTCCTGCCTGACTCCCATTATAGTGACAAATTCGGCATATGTTTGATAGGAGGTCCTAACATAGTTTCTGCAGGCCTTATAGAAGGATTTAATTCTCTGTATAAGAGCCTCGGACACTTGAGTGAAGCCCATAACTCATTCCAAGATATCCTATGGAATGCCTTCTCTAAGTCTATAAAGCACAGATAAACCTGTTTATTTTACTCGATGAATTTCTCACATATTTGGCATAGCTCAAAGATGTGATCTTGAGTACTCCTGCCTAGTCAGAAGCCACTCTGCTCGCTACCTCGCTCCTCTATCTTCTTTCTAAAATATGTGAGTATATTTTACCTGGGACACTCAGCAATGCAATGCCTCTATGATTGGCACATTCTCGAGTGTCATCTTTCTTGAAGATTGGGACAATGATTGAGATTTCCCAATCTTTAGGAATCTTCTTATCTTTCCTGGCCAATTCTAATACCCTTAAGAGTAATTTGTCTCCTGCCTCCCCCATATATCTAAGCATCTCGGGTGTTATTCCATCATGACCTGCTGCCTTTCCCAGCTTCATCCTATCCAGTGTGCCCCACATTTCCTCTTTTTCTATCAGGTTGTCTTCTCCTTGCTGCAGATCCAACCTATCCTCATTTATCTCCTGGCAATTTTCTATTTCTTTGCTCTTATCATTCCCATCCAGTAACTCTCTGAAGTATTCCCTCCATCTTTTCAGTATTCGCTTCGGCTCATTTATTATGTGCCCATCCTTAGCCTTAATAAACGTTATAGGGCATTTCTTCTCATTCCTCATGCTTTTCAAAACTTTGTAGAACAATATTTAATTTATGAACATTATAAGGTGAGTGGCGCCTCATTAAAAACATTACTGACTCGACGAGTCTCCAGTTATCAAAAAGTGAAACAAAAATAGTATTTTTCTTAATTTACACATCAATTACAACCCTTCTGAATAAAGACTGTTCATGGATTCATCAAAGCTATCCCTCGAGGCAGTTCTGTTGCACAATGGCAATTTATTCCCCTCTATCTCTATGGGCCATGCTGTCCACATGAGGGAAACTTACAAAAACATGAAAACCCTTCTAAAATCCGTCAAATACCAGGACTATCAATGGCAAATCTGTGGGGACCTGAAAGTGGTGGCAACTCTTCTAGGAATGCAACAGGGATATACTAAGTACTGTTGTTTCTCATGTGAGTGGGACATTCATGACAGAGCATCTCATTACATCAGGAAAGAATGGCCTCAAAGAGAAGTCCTGAACCCTGGGAAGAAAAATGTTCTCTACAAGCCTCTTGTTGGCCCTGAAAAAATCATTTTGCCTTCACTATGTATAAAGTTAGAGCTCATAAAAAATTTTGTCAAAGGAATGGACCAATCAGGAATGGCATTCAAGTACTCGAGAGGAAAATTTCTTCGCTTAAGTGAAGCTAAGGTTAAAGAGGGTATGTTTGTTGGTCCACAAATCCATGAGCTTCTTAATGGCGAAGAATTTTTGAATATTCTTCAGGGTAAAGAAAGAGCAGCGTGGGAAGCATTTACAGCTTTAGCTAATGGTTTCTTGGTTAACAAAAGAGAGGACATTTATGCTGTCTTAGTCCAAACCCTCCTTGAGAAATACAGAGACCTCAGTTATAATATGCCACTCAAGATTCACTTTCTTTACTCTCATTTGGACTCTGGACAATTTTAGCATTCTCATCAAACTTGGGGATCTGTAAGTGACGAACATGGTGAGTGATTTCATCAAGATATATCCTCAATGGAACAAAGATATCAAGATCCGGCGGAACACTTCAATGCTCACAGACTACTGTTGGAACGTTGTGAGGGATTTGCCAGAAAATCAGTACAATCCTCAAGCAAAGAAGAAATGTTCTAAATAAACGGCACAACAGCAATGTTGTGCCGTTTATTTAGAAACTTGCCAAGAGAAGTTGAAATTTAATGTGTTGTGAGTTGTAAAAGTATTTCACAAATAATAAAGCACTTTTAAAGCCTAAAAAATGATCGTGTAACTTCCAAAACTTAATTTTTTGTATTCGATTCTGGGTATATATATATATATATATATATATATATATATATATATATATATATATATATATATATATATCTGCAGAACAGTATCTAACATAAGGATTCTGGCTGAAAATTCGAGTTTCGTAGACCAAAATTAGTCAAGAGAGACAGTTTTTATCGAAGACAAGGGCCAAGAAAAATGATATGACAACAATCGAATGGAATTAAGAGACCAATCTAACCTTTAAATGTTGTAAGGATGGTCTAAGAAATGAAATGAAATGAAAATATTTTTATTTTCCTGGGACTGCTGGCCATACATTAAATTAAATCTTTAAAAAATAATATCTAATTAAAATAAAAACATATGAAGAAAAAAGAACAAAACAAAAACATTATATAAATATTATGTTTTTGTTTTGTTCTTTTTTCTTCCTATATTATAATATTATAAAAATTACTACATACTACTTTATTACATTTTATTAAATTACTAAATTATAAAAATATTATAATTACTATAATAAATATATATATGTAAATTATATATAAATAAAATAACAAAAGTAAACAAAATAGTTTCTGAGGGAACTTAAGTAGTTCTCTTATATACATTTCGTGATCAGTTGAATTGGGAAAGGAGTAGGTGTATAATAAATAATAAGGTGTATAATAAGGAGTATAATAAAAAATAATAATTATCTAATTAGTAAATATACAATTAGTTAATAAATTGTAAATAAGGAAGTTCCATGAAGGGGATACGTTGTTTTTTTTCTTCAAAAATGCATGAAAAGGGGTTGTGTGATGGGGCGATAGCTGACGTCATAAAATGCGACAACATTCGGCTGTTTTCGGGATTCCATGAACAAGTATGATCGAAGTGATTGTGAACCACGCCTAATCCGTGCGGAACTCTTGTGAACTAGTACCCTTTATACTGTAAAATATCCTTCAATTTCATTACATGACTAATATCTTATTGTCCTGTTATGATAACCCCCAAACCCTCCCAGCATATTTTGATGAATTCCTACATTATTACCTTCTAAACTTTTGCCATATTATTTTTTTTTTTCCAAAACCTGACTCAATCAAAATTCTCACTTCCTCAATGTCCATTCCCAATTATACCCTCACTTGTCATGATCCGAAGGATAAACCTAGTGGAAGTGCTGGAATTTCCGTTCATGATAGTTGAATAGTAAAAATCCTTCACAAATCTCTTTCTCCAGATACTCCTACAAAATACTTATTTATGGAAATCTCTCCAGATTCATTTTCTTTTCTATATGTAACGGTATATCACCATCATCAAATCATTTTAAAAAAATTATGTATATATATCTATCTATATATTCTTCTAAAATAGTCCAAAATCAATACAATACAAATAATAAGTTGTAGCTGATAATTGAAATAAATAATGCGAATATGGATGTAATTTAGTTCATAAGCAAGTATTTAATGGGCGATCTTTGGAATATTCCAAGATTTTATGAGGACTTAATTATAAGATTTTAGTTATAGAATGATCATGTAGTAGTCCATGAAACTCATGATGCTATTAGGTAAATTGTTACAATGATCATATATGTTTTATTATAAATTTCTGAACTAGAGTTTCATTGGATGACATAACAACACAGGTATGTTATAAAATTATAAGAACTTGATTCTTTGTGATTAAATATAACTAGACAAGCCAGAACTGATTAAATTTTTATACAACCTAATTTAATTAAAATGGATAAAAAGACTAAATGACCATTAGTGTAGTGAAAGCCTAAATATTAAATTTCACACGTGGAAGAAAGGGCTGGACTCGGAGATCCCTTGGCTGATTGTAAATATTGTAATCAAGTGTGAATGTTTTTCTTTTTTATATATTTAATTGTTTTACTTATGACTTATTTAATTTGCTACCAATTTCTCTATTTTTTTTTTTAATTTGATTTCAAGTTAATTTCTTTGGTTTCATAGTTTTTACCTTCGTTATATAGATGTATATTTTTATTTTTTATTGTATTGTGTATATAGAATGAATGGGCCTCACTCAGCTTTAGTACTCAGTGCCCTTAAATGTGGCAAAATGTATTATTTCTCAATAAAAAGATTTAAAAAGAAAAAAATATTCAATGCCAAAAAATCATCAACCAACTAATATCCATATTAACAAATCATCAAGAAATAAAAATTGGCCCATTGAAAACGTGTAATTGAATTGAATCAGATATCTTTAAAATAATCCAAATAGTTGAATCTGAGAAAAAAATTTGAAAAATTAATAATTAATAGGTACACAAAATTTTTCTTTAATTCAGGCACTAAAATTGAAATAAAAATTTACTTATTCCACAATTTAAATTATTGATAAGATAATCATCAATGATAAATCAAATAACTTAAAATTTAGGATAAAGTACATAAATGACTACCTTAACAATTTCTATTATATCACTAATTTGCTGCCAATGTTTTCGAAAGCTGTCAAAACATGCAGTAGGATCATATTCTCCAGTGTTGGGTCTATAATTTTGAACTTTACCATATCCACTACCAAAAGGGTTATTTCGAATCCAGCTCATAATTGATTAACCCTTTGAAGAGACATTACAAAGGGATAATTAGTGACGATATGTTATTTTAATAAATTCAACTCTTCACAATTCATTAAAATCAATTAGACACGAATATATTACGAATAATACGACAGTAAATTCAGAAGAACAACATTACCCCCTACCTAAACTAATAAAGTAAATCTTGACCAGATCAAGAACGAGCGCTCATTTTTTTTACTTTTTCTTACCTGAAAAATATACTATGTTAAGTATTATGGCCGCAAAAAAATTCGAATCCGCGTTTTCAACAAAAATACATGTTTTGAGATCATCGGAGCTCAAATTACCAATCCTCGCAAAATGGTCTGTAAGTGTGTAGAAATGAAAGGGCAAGTTCCTAAACTTAGCACTGATATCACTGGTGAGCATCGGTAATTCATCAAACCTTTTCTAAACTCAATAATACTACAATGGGTAAATTTCTGAATTCAGCGCTACTCTATACAGAACCTACACTATCCCCTTCCCAAGATATTTTATATCTCATCTTTTCATACAAACAGAGTAAGGGAAAGTATAATTAGAAAAATTGTAGATCATACACATTATCCTTGCTGCAGTCTGTTCCACGTTTTCTCCTTGTTCCTTATTCTGAAACTTTCCATTCCGAAAATTCATAACTCTTTTGAAATTTGCTCCCCTCAACAATTCAAAAACACGTCAAAATATGCTCCCTGTTATGACTTGAGTGTATTGGAAAATTCTGGGAATATCTGTTATTCTTATAAATAGAATAAGTTGAAATTTATACACTTTTATTTTTAACACACGCACATATCAACACATTGAATAATACTACTACTAAAAACATATGATGTTTTATTTATTATTATTATTTTGTAGCAATGTCGAAAAGCATACTTTTAGCTGTGTCCAATTTTCCCGCATGAATTACATTTTAATCTATCACTCTGCACACGACAGTCTTAACAGTATGGTTAGAATTTCCACAATTGAAGCATAAGTTTTCTATTCCTAAAGAACGATAGTCAATTTTATTTTTACGAAATCTGTGAGATGGGCTCTGTGAACAATGGTATCTTTGATTGGAATTACTTTGATTTTGACTCCTGCGTCTATGCATGTTATTGATACTAGTTGACTCTACACTAGAATTACATGTTAGTTTGGTTAGCTCGTTACTTTCTAACCTAGCAGCTTCTAAAGCTATCGCTTTGGTGACAAATTCATAGAATTTATTGCATTCAGGTTGTAACAGGTGTTCTCTTATCCAGTTTTCTTTCAATCCTCGAATAAATTGAGCACTGAGTAGGACATCCGCAAATGAAACGTTATTGTTACAAGAACATGTGATGCAAAAATCACAGTCAAGTAAACCCTTTCTGAAAGCAGCAACTTGAGAAATTGAGAAAATAATGCTGTGAAACAATCTTGCTCTTATATGGTGTTAACATTTTTGTTAATGCTGAAACAATTTCATCATACTTGAACGTATTAAAAGGTTTTTCGGGACCAAAGAATGCAGACAAATAATTGTAATGAGCTGGACCAATAGATGCGCATAATATCTGTGACTTTTTTTTGCTCATTTGTGACACATTTTATCATTAAATAATTTTCAAAGCGTTCTATGTAATTTTTAAAAGTTTCTTGTTTTGCATGAAAATTATCAAAAGGTAATATTGAATTTAGATTTATCGATACTTCATCCGAAGTTCGCTGAGATTGAAACTGATGTAATAATGCTTGTTGATTTGCATTAATAACTTCCAAAAAATTTTTGAAATTGTTCAGGGTTAATTTTTTTTCTTTGTTTCTTTGAGTAAAATTGAAAATAATATAATTATAACTCACGGTATCGCACTGAAATTTATTTATTTACTTCTTGTTTTTCGTTTTTGTTCCTCCTCGCCAATTTGTTGTGACTTGAGTGTATTGTAAAATTTTGGGAATATCTGTTATTCTTAGAAATAGAATAAGTTGAAATTTATACACTCACGAACAAATCTTTCTTGCTGATAAAATGGTCTTTACCATAAAAAACCTGCATCGTCCCCTCAAAATCATCCAAACTGCTCCAGCATTTGCAGTTTAGTAGCATTACCCCACCCCATTTTAGCAACATCTTGAAACATTCTGTTCATCTGTCTACTATATATTTGTTTAGCCATATAATGGATACTGATTCTTCTTTTCTTTTCCGAGATTTTGGCACCTCCTTCCTCGTTCGCTTAATGTATTTTTCCAATTTTTGGGTTCGATTTCGCTTTTTCCCTCATTTTGAAACCAAATACAATTAGTTCCGATTACCTAGAACAATTTAAAGCTACGCCCTTTCCATCTTTCTTTGTGCAGAGAATAATGTATTGAATATTAAAATTTCCTATTTTTTTTTTTTTTGATTTGGTCCAACTTCCGAACAAAATAAAGGAAACAAAAATGAATTTTTTATTTGTGATATACGAGTTTTACTAAACAACCCATGAACTATTGATTAATGTAGTTCAGATTAGGTATTTATTATTTTGGTTTATAGAATCAGTATTGATATGACTCATTTCCGAGAAAGTAGATACAATTTAAATTACCTCAGTTAGACACCATTTACCTTAATATTGTACTTAAGCATCAGCAACTTCTCCCCACCACTATAAATAGGTCTTAGTAGTAAGCAGTAAGATAGTAGCTCATGTCTTAGTAGTATTGTAGCTCTCATTATGTAACATTGTACTTGTTTGTTTGTTTATTTAGGCTTTAAGGCGTAAAACCCTAGGGTCATCAACGCCTGTGAGTCGGTTATATTTGTAAACTGTTTAGAGGAGAATTAATAATTATTAATATATAGAGTAATAAATTAAAAAAATATTAAAAAACATATGAAAAATAAAATATATCAAAATAAATATAAAAAAGACAGAACAATAAAATAAAAATTATATTTATTTTTATATTCTATTTAATAGCCTATGTATTCTAAGAAAATTTATCACTTTTTTATGTCGGATTCGTTGTTGCTTAATACTGCTGATATATCCGGTTTTAGAGATAATTGATTTAGGCTTGAAGTATAATAAGTGCATTCTTGGAAAATATGATTGATAGTGAGAAGGCTATTGCAGTGCTGACAAATTGGTGGAGGCTGCTTAGTGATGAGAGGTACATGGGTTAGGTTCGTGTGTCCTATTCTTAACCTGGTCACGGCGATTTCCTCTCTACGATTAGGGCGATTTGATGTGCTCCAGGGTTTCACCGATTTTTTTATAACTTTTAATTTGTTAGGTGGGCTTTCGTTCTACATAGATTGCCATTTATCCAATATTTCCTTTTTGAGAGGAAAACTCATTTCTGGAGGGGTCAGGATAAGAGTACCTCGGTCTGGGAGCGCGAGTGCCTGTTAGGCTGCCGTATCCGCAAGCTCATTACCAACTATACCCACGTGACTGGGAATCCATATAAAACAAACTGATTTTCCTAAATTTTCCAGAGTGTGAAGATATTTGTGTGTTTTAAGGATAACTGGATGTTTTGATTACACATCATTTAAACCGTTTAATGAACTCAAGGAGTCGGTTATCAAGACTATCGAGCATGGAGTTATTGACATTCAGAAGTGGAGGGCTGAGGCTATTGCGTGAAGTTCCGCTGTGTATATGCTGCTTAGTTTATGTAGTTTTATTTTATGTGTGGAGTTATGGGTAGCAAACGAACAAGCTGTAGTATCATCTGATTTCGAACCATCAGTGTAATTTTTTTTTTTTTTGACATTAAACTTTTATTGAGTATTAATACAGTCTGCCACACTGAAGGGCATTGGTACTAGGGCTATAGTATTCATTCACACAATATGTACATAAGAAAGGAAAAAAAATATATATAAATAAAAAGATAGAGTAATATACAAGATAATTAAAACAACAGATCAGCCGAATAATAACAAAACAAATAAAACACATTCACACCTATGTACAATATTTAAATTGGCCCAGGGGACTCCGAATCAAGCTTTGTCCCCCAACTGTGGAAGCCAAAGCAGGACTCCAGGAGATCCCAGTGCTTCTCTCTCAGCCGCGTCACTGGTATTTTGGTAGCCGATGGTGCAGATTTAAACTCAAAGCATCAGCAGTGGGGATCAAGAACCACGAACTCTCGTGGTAGAACATTGCTGTCTGCACTCAATTCCCAACATTTCTGCCTCCTTCCTTCTAACTCACTTACCTACTGGCCCACTGATCCTAACCACATTCCTGATATACTTGATTTCTTCATCCACAGTGGTTTAGGTCTCCTCAATCATTCTCTTACCCTTCTTGATGACCTTTCCTCAGACCACGGTCCTCTAATACTCCAATATCACTAGCTCCTATTCCTAAACCCTCCCCACCATCCTTCATCAGAGGTCCAGTCAACTGGAAACTCTTTCAGCAAATCCTTTCCGATCAAATTGACCTCAGAATAACCCTGAAAACCGCAGAAGACCTTGACAATGCCGTACATTCCTTTACCACCATGATTCAACAAGCAGTCTGGACTGCTTCCTCCCCAAATCACTCTCTGAAAATCCTTAAAAAAATAACTTACCCCAACATCTCATGACCTAATCCATATCAAACGCCGTGCCAGATCATTATGGCAACGCACCAGACATCCAGCTGATCGCCGTTCCTATAATTATTACTGTAAGCAACTGAAGCAGGAATTATCCTACTTCAGATCCCAATCCTTTAACTCCTACCTTACATCTCTCTCCACTCATGATAATTCCCTTTGGAATATCACCAAAAAAATCCTAAAATCCAACCATGTCTCCCATCCCCTCCGACGAAGTGATGGCTCCTGGGCGGCGTCAGATGAAGACAAAGCTGAGGAATTCGCCGAACACCTCTCCTGCACATTCACTCCTCATCCGGAATCCCATCCTACCCACACTGCAATAGTAGAAGAATTCCTCTCTTCACCCATCCCACTCTCCTTACCACCAAAAGCAGTTAATCCTTCTGAGGTCAAACATCATTTACAAAAACTATCTCCCCGTAAATCTCCTGGATACGACCTTCTAATCCCGCATATCCTTCGGCAACTTCCATCCAAAGCAATCATATTCCTCACTTATATATACAATTGTATCCTACGAACTACCCACTTTCCTCTCTTATGGA